TGTTAAAGGATAATTTTCAAAATGGTGACATGACTCTCATAGTATGAACATGTGTCAAAGATTTTATTTAACTCATTTATGTAACTCATGTAAGATTTGACAGCTAACTTAAAGGAATCATTGAGTGCTGAAATGAATTTACTAATAGGTGCAGAACTGGACAGTATCCACAGGGCAATAAGACTTAAGATTTGGAGTCATCTCTTGCAGGGGGTAAGCGGGGGCATCAGTTGCATCTCAACAGGACAGGATTCCCTTGCAACTTTTATGAATGGGAATCGTTTGCATTGCTATCTGTTTTCTATAATTTACAGAGTTCTAAAGTAGTCAGAAAGTGAAACGCACAGAGCTCTGGAGAAACAGGTAACCCATATGGTCCCTGAGACAATGCCAGCCTCCCACTGAAAGGATACTTAGTCATCTTTTTTTCTGATTTCAATCATTCACAGTTTTTCTCATAGCAAGATAATGGGCAAATAAGTGGGGTTCTCATATATGGGACTGAAACTGAGAAAGATAATCTTGGGTAAGTAGAAAAGGAGATTCCTATCATCATCTTTCTCATTCTGTATCCTGAGTCTGGCTTTGAAGGAGTCTTCATGGCCGGGCATGCATTTCTGGGGATGAAAGGGGAAGCTTTTGTTATGAGGAAGCAGGTTGGGAGCCAGGAAAGATGCCTCTTTGTTTGACAAGCTAAAGAACGAGTGTATCTCATCCTATAAAGCAGATTATTTATTTTCATGCCATTTTCTTTACTTGTTTTTTCTGTTTGTTAACACTTTTTTTTTTAGCAAAGTCTTTTTTTAATATGTGTCTTTTTGTTAGCCCTTATTTTTAGTACAGTCTTTTTAAAATGTCTCTTAGGCTGACCACAGATAGGTACCATGGGGCATTAAGAAAGAACCCTGTGTTTACTTTCAGTTCTAGAATTAGAGGGGAAGTAGTGCTACCAGAAGCCATTGCAGTGGTGGTGATAATTAATAAGAGGTTCCCTGGGGACCACATGGCACCATAGTTTTTCTTACCAGGAAGTTCCTACATGGCAACCTTGGAGAATCTGGAGCCTCTTTGTTTGTTAGTAAAGTGCTTTTTTCTTACCTTATTATTATTTTCTTTATTGTTAGTTTGCTTAAATTTGTAGAACCAGATAAGGTTTAATTAACAAATAGAGAAATACTATTTTCATCAATTTGAATTAATCTATTCCTAATTCTATATCATTGCAGTTTTACATCTATCTTAATCCAATTAAGTATAGATTTATGAACATTTGCTGAATCAGTGGCCTTAAAATTATTTGGTAGTTATTATAAGTCCTGAGTAAATAAGAAGCTGGATTGAAGAGTGCTGAATAAGGTTTCAGAAACGTAATTTATAGATACCTTGCACTAGAAACCTAAGTGTTATTTATCTGATTCTTTTCTCTCCAGCAGTGGATGTTTAACTTGTGGAAAGGCCCAGCACGTGAAAAAAAATAAGCATAGATGAGACGGTTAATTTAACATAATGATCTTTGTGTCCTCTGGTATAAAAACTGAAAACTGCAAGATTAGGCAAATAATGGTTTTCAGTGTGCCTTTTCTACGAGGCACTGTTTTTAGTGGATACATTCAACAAGTTTAGGTTCTGGTTGTAGCTCTGCTACTCTAGTGTGAACATGAGGACAGAGTTAATCTCTGAAATTTTAATCGATAAGATTAATTTGTTGAGCTAATATTCATTGAGTTATGTTCTAAGAAGACATGGTCCATGCCCTGAAAGAGCTGAAGACAACTCTTTGTCTTCAGTCAGTAAAATAAGTACAATCAAGTATTATGGGTACAATGAAGTATTATGAGTACACCTCATAGAGGAGGTGATGCCTAAACTGATTTTTTTAAAGAAGAGACATCTCTGGCAGAGCAAGGCAAAGGGGACAGAGGAGCAGACAGAAAGGGAGGGAGAAGAGGAGTTATTAAAGGGAAGGGATCAGTAAAGGAACAAGAGCATCAAGAGGCATAAGCAGCATGCTTGGATTTGAGGTGTGATCCTGGTGCAATGAGAAATGAAGTGGGAACAACCAGATTTTGAAGAGTGTGGTTTTAAAATGTAAACATTTGACTAAAAAGTCTATAACGCTCTCTGTAACTTGGATTATGATCTCAGAATATTGCTAGTGAATGATAAGGAGCTAATATTACTCTGATTAGTTTGAATGGTTCTTGTATTCAAAGTTAGTGATAGCCAAGAAATTACATTAGTCAAAACGAGGGTTCTCTTGTGTAATTTTCAACCTTTGTAATAACCATGAAAGGCTGGGAAATGGAGTGCAAATACTTTTGGTCAAAAGTACTCTCTTCCTACTTCATCTTTCATTTTACTGCCTACCTTGTTTCTTTTCTTCTTTTTTTTTATTGTGGAAATTTTTGAAAACATACAAAGTAACAGAATCGGATAATGAACTTCATTACTTAGCTTGAGTAACTATCAACATTCTTATTTATTCCTGTACTCTCACCCATCGTTTAGTTATTATCGCTAACATTATTTTTACTATTTTTAGGTATAATTAACATATTGAAATTTACAAATCTTAGATATACATTTTTGACAAATAGATGTGCCTGTGAAATTCACATCATCCCAGTTATTTGATCTTTTCCCCAGTTTCCTTTTTACCCCTTTCCAATCTCCCCTATCCCCACCCTTCCCTCTAGGTGAGAAGAGTAACATTGTTCTGATTTTTTGTTTGTTTGTTTACTTACCTTAGATGAGTTTTGCCTGTCTTAGAATTTTACAAGGAACTCTTCTGTATGTCCTCACTTGTTTCTGGCCTCTTACCTGTGAGCTTCATCCATGGTACTGAGCCTGTTAGCAGTTCCTCCCTTTGTTTTGCTGAGCACATTCTGTTGTATGAATTTACTACAATTTGTTATCGATTCTTTTGTTAGTGAGTATTTTGGTTGTTTTCCTTTTTTTTTTTTTTTCCTCTAAGACAGAGTCTCACTCTGTCGCCCAGGCTGGAGTGCAGTGGCACAATCTCAGCTCACTGCAGCCTCTGCCAGTTTCAAGCAATTCTCCCATCTTAGCATCCCTAGTAGCTGGGATTACAGGCATGCACCACCATACCCAGCTCATTTTATGTATTTTTAGTTGAGGCGGGGTTTCACCATGCTGCCCAGGCTGGTCTCGAACTCCTGACCTCAGGTGATCCACCTGCCTCAGCCTCCCAAAATGCTGGGATTACAGGTATTAACCGCTGCGCCCAGCCTTGTTTTCGATTTTTTGCTATTGTGAATGAAGTTGCTGTGAACATTCCTGTATACATTGTTTTGCAAATATATGTTTTCATTTTTCTTGGACAAATATCTGGGAGTGGAATTACTGGGTCAAAAGATAGGTATGTGTTTAACTTGGTAAGAAATGGCCAAATTGTTTTCCGAAATGGTGGTACCATGTACATCCCTACCAGCAATCTATGCGATCATAGCTGTTCCATATCCCTGCTGACATTTGGTGTTGTCAATCTTTAATTTTAGCCATAATGTGAGTATATGGTGGTATCTCATTGTTACTTTTATTTGCATTTCCCTAATCCCTAATGATGTTGAGCACTTTTTTATGTGCGTACTTTTGCCCATCATTTTTAATTAGATTGTCTTTTATTATTGAGTTGTATTTGTTCTTTATATATTCTGGATACAAGTTATTTGTCAGGTGTATATTTTATTAATCTTTTATTTAACTGTGTCTTGCCTGTTCATTTTCTTAACAGTGTCTTTTGATGAGCAAAAGTTTTATTTTTGATTGAGAGTAACTTACCAAATTTTTGTGATTATTACTTTTTGTATCCCTAAGAAATCTTTACTTACCTCTGTATTGAGAATATATTTTCCTATTTTTTTTCCTAAAAGTGTTATACTGTTTGCTTTTATATTTAGGTCTGTGGTCCATCTCAAATTCATTTTTATGTGCAAAGTTGGGGTCAGGATTCACTTTTTTCCCTATGGATATTCAGTTGTTCTACCACCATTTATTGAAAAGACTTTTCCTTTTGTCTTTAATTGTTTTGGTACCTTTGTTGAAAGCCATTTGTCCTAGTGTGGGGCCTATTCCTGAACTCTGTTCTCTTCCTTTGGTCTACTTGTCTTTATCCTAATCCTGCACAGTCTTGATTACAGTAGTTTCATGCTGAGTCTGTAAGTCAGCTAGAGTAAGTAGTGCAGCTTTGTTGTTTCGTTTCAAGATTCTTTTGGCTAAGTCCTGGCATTTCCACATAAATTTTAAAAATTGCCTCATCCATTTCTATTAAAAAATGAGTATATAGAAATACAATTCATTTTCATGTATTAATTTTATACCTGGAGACATTGCTACACTAAGTTTTTAATGCATAGTTCCTGAACACCCCGGACTTTCTTCCCTTCATGTTTTCCTATGGCTTTGTAGATGTGAATGTCCTTGTCTTTTGTGTCTGCCTCCTACAGAGGTCCGGTGGGAATGCCATGGCATTGTGAAGTTGTCTTACACTGTCCCAGCTAGAATCATATAGTCCCCCTAAGAGTCTCTGTTAGTGCACCTTCCACAGTCAGTCTTGAATGAGCCATTTTTTGAAGGCAAGAGCTTTACTTTATCTTCCTCTCTATCCCCACAATATTGAGCACAGCATCTTGTTCACAGTCTGGAATGTATCTTTTCAACATTTCTCTCAGATGGTAGGGAATTATGTAGTTGTTGGGTGGAGTGAAGGTGGGGGACATTCTTATAGGAAACCTCAATCAAATGGAATATACCAATTGGAATATACTCAATCAATTGGAATCAATTGGAATACCCTGAGGTATATCCTAAAAAGGGAATATAGACTTTTTATCAAAAACTTAGCCCTATGTTTTTCCTGTTCAAAAATATGTTTACTAGTGGATGATTTACGACACTCTAAATGACTTGGGTTTTTGCTGCCAATTTTGAATTTTCGTACATCTAAATACATTTCTTCTTACTTCATTTTTGTTTTCTAGGTGGCTGACTGTTCTTGGGATGAAACAATAAAGATCTATGACCCTGCTTGTCTTACTATTCCTGCTTGAGATACACTACTCTGGTCAGAAACAGAGGATGTTGGCTGAAGAACTGCCTAACAGCAAATAAATTAACTATGGAAAACATAGACATTATGCTTTTATATGCTATTCAGATTTCAAATCTTTCCAGTTTATCAGTTTTGAGGGAGCTGATAAAGGCTTTGGCTCACTCATTAAGCCTGATACATAAGCCATATTTCTTAAAATTCTAAGAAATAATTAATATTATGGTGTATCTTATAATATCTATTAAAATGTAGTCTCTGGGTCATAAAATGGATTAAAATATGGGATCTCAGTAGGTTATACTTGTATAGATAGTGATATATTTCATTTTTAATTTGTCATTTTTGATGTAAAATACAATCACTTTTGTGATAAATAAACTATATCTGTTGATCATTTATCATTTTATGACTTCCCCAAAAAGACTGCTCTTTCTAATACATTGTATATGTGAATACAGTATTATATGTAATATAGATATATCTGTGGTTCAGGAACAGGACACTAGAATATATTTATTCTTTTATTTAGTAGCTGTTTATTGAGCATCTACTCAGTGCTTGACACATAGACTGAGTGAGATTCTCTCAGGGACTGGTGCCATGTTTTTAAGAACATGGAATGCTATGAGCTAAGAGCTTACTTTTTTTTTTTTTAGCATTTATTCACGTATTTTTAGATATTATACTTATGACTCTATAATTTTGTCTTCCTACTTCTCTAATATCAAAAATTTTTTAAACTGTCGATTGAACACAAAGTTTTAGGTCCTACTAAGGCTTCTAGCTATTGCCCTTGAAACCAGGCCTAAGTACTGCTATTATGCTCCTTGCCACCTCCCTAAGGTTTCTTGAAAAGCTCTAGGTGCAGATGAACTGAAAAAAAAAAAAAGTACGTTAAAGGGGAAAAAATCAAACTACTTTGCATAACACTTATATTTCCTATATAATATTAAGATATACTATAAGTGGTAAAGATTATAATTCTTAAGTTCTTTTTAAAGAACAAAATGTGCTCATAATAACCAGAGCAAAAATAAACTAAAATATATATATTGCCTTTATAAATTTGCTTGTTTACTTCTTGCAGAAAAAATTTAAGACAGCTTAAGATATAAAAGCAAAACAGCATAAATTAAGAAGTGGAACCAAAGAGAGAAAGTGGAGCCAGGAGTGGGGCTTCAGTATACATACCTCAAAGTCCTGGAAAGTTACTACTGACTGGGCCAAAGATTTACCGCTAAGGTTTCTAGCCTCATAAATGGGAAATCTGATCAGCTACACAGTTCAGTGCCTATAGCCTAGAGGGCAGACTCTGTCCTTGTGCCAGGCTTGGCCCTAGCACCCTGCCTGGCTCAGGCAACAGAAGGGGCTCAGCAACTGTTAGTTAAATGAATGAATGGTCTCAGGGAAAATACAGCTCTTTTTGGTTCTTTTTTTCTTTTTTCTTTTTTCTTTTTTTTCTGTTCTTTGAGAATGGAGCCTCACTATGTTGCCCAAAACTGGTCTTGAACTCCTAGGCTCAAGCCATCCTTCCACTTCAGACTCCCAAGTACCTGGGACTACAGGCACGTGGCACGGTGCTCAGCTTTTTTTTGGTTCTTAGATCAGCAATACAGATTGCTTTTGAGAGGTTCGATAAAGAGGACACCGCTTAACCTCCTAAGTATACGGCAGTGAACATGGTGCTTAGCCACATCCTTAGAGTTGTCACACTGATGAGTTTGACAGCGTTTTTTCTTGCTGCTTGCCTCTATATGAACTAACGGCATTATACTAAGGTGTGGTCAGTAAAAGTGGGTTTACAATGGGTGTTCTCTGTATCAGCAGAATTTGAGATAGACCCTTAAAAGTATCCAACCCAAAGTAGTCAGACATGGTGGCATGCGCCTACTGTAGTCCCAGATACTCGGGAGGCTAAGGCAGGAGGATCACTTGATCCTGGGAAGTTGAGGCTGCAGTGACCCAGGCTAAGGCATTCTGGCCTAGGTGACAGAGCAAGACCTTGTCTCAAAAATATCTAACCCAGATAATATTTATAATGAAATTATTTCCTTTCCTTCCAGAATGCAAGAGGTTTTATTAATAAAATGTTCTATCATGTATCTTTTGAAACAAAAACTTATAATTTAAAAACTAACCTCTCCCTTGATTTATTTTTTCCCTGTACTCCAGGAATGTTAGAGATGTTTAGAACACTAGCTTCATAATATATAACTCAGGTTCTTGGGAGTCTATCATTGTGAGAGTGGGTGAATGCTTATCCAGTTGGTTCCCTGGAACTAGAATGGGAAAACTCTAAGGATTCTCTCCTGAAAGACAATGTGCAAGATTTTTGAATCCTTGGTAGATCACAAGTTAAGCAGCTTTTGGACTTTAGAGGATGACCAGTCATTCTTTCTGGGTTGGGAAATCAGCATTTGTCTCCTGGCTGCTGAGCTTTTAGCTTTCATCTTGAGGGCCTCCCCACAAGCTCCTCCTGTACCTGTAGTGACAGAACAGCACTAAAGAGTGGATAAAGGAAAAGGGAACTCAGTTACTGATTTGTGGTCAGGGCACCATGTGAGATGCTTTATATATGTTATCACTTTTAATCTCTATAACATCCCTGCAAGGTAGCCCTCCTTGTTTTCAGGACAAGGAAGCCAGTGTTCTCAGGAGTCATAATAGCCAAAAAATAATGAAATGAATTTGAAATCTGGAATGATTGAATCTAAACCCATGGTCCTGCCACATAGCCTCCTTTTCTTAAGAATAACAGAAATTGGCACACTGAGAAATAGTTGTAAGATGTAGAACTCTCTGGTGAGTAGATCCTGATTATTCCTTAAAGAATTGACAGAATTGAGTTTCCAAGTCTCAAGAGCTAAGCTGAGCCTTAGTCTGGAGTGACCCTACCAAGGTCCATCACGCCCAGGGAGATCCAGGCTGAGTCAGCTATCCTTTCTGCCTTTGGCACTTCTTAACTGTGTATCTTAGCAATAATTTGGCTCTTCCAAAAATGAACTCGAATTTCTTACTTAAAAGGCTTCTCCTTGTATTTGCTGATCCACTTAAATGCTTTTTAGTTTCATGTTAATACTGGATACTCCCAAATCTGTACACCTACCTTCCCCACCTGGGTTTCCCACAAGCCTTTGCACTCATTTTGTTCCAGCCAAACTCACTTGCCTGCTAACCCAGCTTTTCCTCCTGCACATGCTTTTTCATTTGTTGACAAAAGTCAAGGTGTTATAAAAGATCCATTTGGGTCAAGCTAAAGACCTAAACACCATCCTTGGTCCTTCCCTTATTCCCACTTCTCCATATATATCGAATGAGATCCTTTTTACCCCCCTAAACACTGCTCCCTTCTATCTCTTCCCCTCAATCCAACCACCATTGCTCCAGTTCAAGCCATCATTAGCTTTTCTCTGGACAATTGCAGCAGCTTCCTAAATGGTGTGTCTGTTTCCAGTTCTGTGTCCTCAGAGCCCTCCTCCTCAACACAGCTGCCGGAGATGGATCTCAAATGCAATCTGATTACATCAATTTCAGTATAAAACCTTTCTCTGCTTATAGGATTACCTATAGGAAAAAATTCAAGCTTACTAACCAAGCAGCCAGGGTCCTCCAGGGATAGCCCTTGCCTCTGTCTACAGCACCGCTTCTCTTCACACTCAACCAGTGTGCTCACAAATTCCTCATGTAAGTGATGCAGGTTTTCGGCTGGTCCATGTGCCTGGACTACCCTGCTCTTGGCTCGGTAAATTCTTACCCATCATGTAAAAGTCACATTAGGCTGGGCACGGTGGCTCATGCCTGTAATCCTAGCAGTTTGGGAGGCCAAGGTAGGCGGATCACCTGAGGCCAGGAGTTTGAGACCAGCCTGGCCAACATGGCGAAACCCCGTCTCTACTAAAACTACAAAATATTAGCCAGGCATGGTAGTGAGTGCCTGTAATCTCAGCTACTTGGGAGGCTGAGGCAGGAGAATTGCTTTAACCCAGGTGGCGGAGGCTGCAGTGAGCCAAGATTGCACCATTGCTTTCCAACCTGGGTAACAAGAGCGAAACTCCATCTAAAAAAATAATAATAATTAAAAATAAATAAAAGTCGCATTAAATAAAGAGTAAGATTGACAACATACAAAAATTAAAATTGCAAAACACATCACTAGCAAAGCTAAAAGAGGACCTAATGAAAGGATATACTGGCAACATACACAGAATGAATGGTTAATAGCCAAACTTCACAAAGAGCTCTTAAAAATCTGGGCATGGTGGCTCACTCCTGTGATCCCAGCACCTTGGGAGGCTGAGGCAGGTGGATCGCCTGAAATTAGGAGTCCGAGACCAGCCTGGCCAACATGGTGAAACGCTATCTCTATTAAAAATATAAAAAATTAGCCGAGTGTGGTGGCACATTCCTGTAGTCCCAGCTACTCAGGAGGCCTAGACAGGAGAATCACTTGAACCCTGGAGGCGGAGGTTGCAGTGAGTGGAGATCAAAACATTGCACTCCAGCCTGGGCAACAAGAGCGAAACTCTGTCAAAAAAAAAAAAAAAAAGTAAGATACCAAACAAAAGTTGGACAAGGATATCAATAAATAGTTCACAGATGCAACCTCCACCTCCCAGTTTCAGTGATTCTGCTGCCTCAGCCTCCAGAGCAGTTGAGATTACAGGCATGTGCCACCATACCTGGCTAATTTTTGTATTTTTAGTAGAGACAGCGTTTCACCATGTTGACCAGGCTGGTCTTGAACTCCTGACCTCAAGTGATCCACCTGCCTCAGCCTCCTAAAGTGCTGGGATTACAGGTGTGAGCCACCGTACCCGGCCAAAATTTTAAATTACCCTTTGACCCAGCAATTTCACCTCTAGGATTCCCTCTCTCCCCCTTTCCCAAAATACCTGTAGAAGTATGGCTATGTCCAAGGGTATTCATTACATCATTTGCTAAAACCCAAATGCCTGCCTACAGAAAGGGTATACTGTAGAACAGTTATTGAAAATAATAAGTCATTTGAAAAAATATGCTATTTCTATGTAAAAAATCACTCCAAAACTTAGTAGTTTTAAACAACACACATTTATCATCTTACAGTTTCTATAGGTCGGGAATCCAGAAACAACTGAGTTGTTTGAGCTCAGGTTTTCTCATGACACCACAGTTATTTCCATGGTTATCAGACCTCAGTTACTCAACCACATCGGGACTCTCCATAGGCAGAATGTCCCTACAATGTGGCATTCGGCTTCCCCAGACTTAATGATACAAGAAAAAGGACATACAAGATGGAAGCATCAGTGTTTTATAAACTAAAGTCAGGAGTGACCTCCATCACTTCTGCCAGGTTCTGTTAGCTACACAGACCAACCCTGGTACAGCGTGGGAGGAGTTAACATAGGGTGTGAATGTGGGGAAGCAGGTATCACTGGGGACTATCTAGAAGGCTAATTCCCATAATATGCGCTTTCTAAAGTAGGAAATTATAGACAAATATATATGATATCCTGGTTTTGTTATTTTTTTAAAGGGGGAGTTTGTGTGTGTATAAACATACATACAAAAAGGCTGAAAGGTTCCACACTGAACACAGCAAGCTCTATGTCGTAGGGTTGGGGATGGTGAACACTGAAGAGAGCGTGTTTACTTCTTTATAAATTTGTTTTTCTCTTATGTACCACAATGAGCATGTGTTACTTTTACGATTAAAAATAATGAAATACGCTTTCAAAGAGACTGTATTTCCTTCTCCAGGAAGCCTTCTCTGCTACTGCTATCAAGCTGATGTACTTGCCCTCCTGGCGCTCCCGTTTTCTGCCACACAATCCCACTGTTGCTAAGGACGAAGGCGGTGTGTTCATCTTTGAGTCCTCTGTGGCTAACAGAGTACCTAGGCACAAAATACTTGTAGTATATGTTTGTTGAATGAATGGATAAACTAAAGGATTTATTTAATGCCATTAATATTTATTGAGTAGCTCCAAAGATGATGTGCTTGAGTCTAGACCCTTGGTACCCCGATACCAATAGGTCAAATAGCTATTTGACCTTTAGATCTACATTTTTGTTCATCTAGATCATTTAACCATGCTAAACATGGTATTCTTAGTTTTTCACAATTTTTAAAAGGAGCTCATCTAGTATCTGGTTTTGTGGGAGATGGGGGTTAAGGGGTTTTTTTTTCTTTCCAAAAGAATTATATGCAACAAAGTGGAGAAAATGTGCGGTTTTATGCCACTGTAGGTTTCAAATATTAAGCTAAATTGTCTTGCCTAAATGAGAAGAGTAAGATAGCTGAATCAGCCCCAAATCTTTTACCTAATGTTAGTATCACAAATGGATGCAATTATAATTGCGGGCAGAAATGAATCATTCCAAAAGTAGGTCTGTGCAGCCAATTCTTTATATTAATAATATGCACTTGGGATGGCTTAAAGCAGCCACACTTTCATTGGAATAGTCTCTAGAAGCAGAAATCTGTTATTTGCCGATGTCTATAAGTTAATTTTCAGAGTTTTTAATCAATATATTTTTGAATATACAGTTATACCACACACATACACATAATGTGAACTGGTGCTTCAGACTTCATTATTTCCTAAATAACATTAACTCTAGAAAAAGAGTCACTTAAACAGCCAATAGTATGTAACCACAAGTTTTAGCAACAAAAACCAAGAGCTCCCCAGAGAACCGGAAGCACGTGTTTCAGTATAATGCTTTCCAGCTATTCCTGGAAAGTTGGCACCCTGGGCCATTCACAAACATTTTTTTGAGTGCCCACCTGTGGGGGGCAGAGAGGTGGCCCTCCCAGACGCCGGGCACCTGAGCTGATGGACTGGTTGACAACGAGCTCTCTAGAGCTCACCAAAGTGAGCATCCAAAGCCCAAAATGCTGGCCCAAATGAAGGACTGCCGTGATGCTGCTAATCCCTGCTGTAATTTTTTTTTCCTTCCCCTGTTGCAGTAAATCACTTCAACACCTTGGCTGAAGTGTGCTGCATTCAGCACAGAGATGGAAGTAAGAGGCAGAAAACAGAAGAACCGCGAGAGAAATGGATCCTGTCTATTAAGGCAACGTGATGCAGCGTTAAAAGGTTAGGAGGTTGCGATCCCCGGGGCTAAGAGAAATAAACTGCTGGCGGTGAACGAAAGGGGTGCTGGAGCGCAGCGATCTCGAACCTTTCCCTTACAGCCAAACCCTGGCCAATGCCACAAATTTCAAATCGCCTTAAAACTAAACTGCCTGGCGCTTAACGGTTCCATCGGCTGGGCGAAACCCTTGGCTGCTGCTGATTTAACTACAGGTCCGCGCGAGTTACTTTCCAGGGAACTGAATTCAGAAGAAAGAGTCACCGAAGCCCTACTCCCATCCCAAAATTAGAATTCCCTTTTTCTTAGTCATATAGGAAAAATACAGTTCACAAGTCCTGCGGTGCAAAGGTGTGAACCCTGGCCCAGGGAGGTGGTGACTCCCCCGCCCTCTGCCTCCCGGTTATCCTGCTTCCGAAAGCAACCCACGACGGTCCCGCAGGGTGAGGGTTCCCTGGAATCAGTTCCCTGGGATCCGGAGAATGCTACGCGGAGTCTCCCTACAGGGTGAGGGGCCCCGGGTTCCCGCCCCCTCCCCTTCTACTCCCCCATTCTGCGAGCGCAGCCAGCCTTCTCCCACGCTTCGGGAAGCGTCGCCCCCGAGCTTCTCGGTTCCTGGTGGTGGCTACTTGCGGTTGTGACTTCGTTTGTTCGCGCTTGCTTATTTACATCTTTGCCTCAATTCTAATGTGTGTCCCCGCCACCAGGCTCCGCTGCTGTACGAGACCACTGAACCCCC